CCGTTGATACAAAGCACTTCTCGGTCACATTCTCCACATCCTCACTATCCTCCTCATACCTTGCATACATGGCTCCATGTGTGGGGTTCCTTATATATTCGTCATATAATCCAGATGATCAAATTTGATAAGTACCATCCCCATCACCACCTCCTTTTACAACTAGCGACATTCCTTTTATCCTAGCTCTCACTTCCTCCAACCTTTCGACATAATATGCTTCATCCTTTACTCTTTCTTTTTTTCTCCTCTCTTTTCCTTAACATGCAATCGATTGCCATATGGTTTGCACCATTGCAGCAGTGGCAATCGAAACTAGAATCTCCTTTTAACTTTTTCTCAATCTTTTCACTAATAACCTTACTCTCTTTCTTTTCAACCTTTGAATCTTCTTTAACATTCCTCCCAGATGATTTTCCCTTGAAATCACTTCCTTTGAACTTCAAATTGAATGGCTTTTTGAAAAACTTCTTAACTTTGTTATTTAAGTAATATGCCACAACTTTGTCATCCGAGTTCAAGACAAAACCTTCATCATCAGGACTATCAACATCAACAGATTCGACTTCTGTCTCTTTTCCAGACACTTTTGAAACCAATGCCAGAGGACCACTGAAAGACCCCAACTTTTGTATTTTTGAAAGACCCAAACTTTCATACTTTGCAATATTATTACTCCAAAACATGCTACTTGCATATTCATAAAAGCAATATTTTACATTGATAAAGGAATTACAAACTACTAGATACAAACCGACTATTACAAAGTGTTATATATTACATAACTACCCAGGATATTGTAATTTATACAAACATAAACTGAATTACAAAAGTACTATTACAAACTATTCTAATCTTTCAACAGTATGTGATCATACTAGTTACTTATCACCTGCAATTGTTAAACATTGATAGGGTAAGCGGTGATGCTTAGTGAGTTCAATAATAGATACAATATAACGTTATGCCATATATATACTTCAATGTGGCAAAAGCAAAGAGGAACAACAAGACATATGTGAAATCATGTGACAAGTGTTCATATCAATCAAAGACTTTATTCAAATATATACTTTTCAATGCTTGATATACATCAATAAAACTTTGACCCAAATGGCATAGAAGACATGCAATTTCTGATTAACATCTTGTTAGATTTCAGGTTTATAGTCCTGTCTAACCATTTGCCAATGTCATAGAAGAGAAGTCATTCTCTTACGGAGACATGCTCTACATGGCCAGAGGCTACGTACCAGTACCAATGTGAATCTAAGTCCTTTCACTGATCACATGGTCAAAGGTATTACATTTGCTATAAACATAGCGAATAAAATAACACGGGAAAATAACTCAGAATAATAACACTGAAAAGCACATAGCACATATAACACATAACATACAATTGTTCCTATATATTGAACTCACCTTGAATTAACCGGGGGTTAAAATAGTAATTTGGACAGCACTTCGGCTTTAAATATGACTTTCTATGTTGAAAACTGGGAGCTTAATTGAAAATCGGGCTCTGCGAAGGTAAGGCTTCAAAACCGGAAAGATAAAATTTTCGGGCTTCTCGGGAGCTTCGGGACGTGTTTCGGGTGCTAAAATTGATACCAGGGCTTTGGGGAAAGTCAAAATAGTGAATATATGGAATTAGGGTGAAAAAGTGTCAAATTTTAAAAGTTACCCGGGAAGGCTCGCAGCCTCCCTTTATATAGGGTCGAGGGTTCGGTCTTTGTGGCTGAAAAGAGTCCACGTCGCAGCTGTGAAGCTCGGTCAGGAGGGAGAAGCGTGGCTCATGCAAGCTTCGGACATTTGGCAGGAGGAGCGAAGGCCACGAGGCTGCTGCGAGGCTCGGACGCGGCATCAGATGCGAGGCCGGTAGGCGGGACGTGGCTCGCGTCGGATTGGCCACCGATGCGAAACGCATCTCGTTCTTACTAGACCTCGGCCTCTGGCGAATCAGAAGAGGACACGCACTGGCTTCGGATTGGGCCACGTCTCGGATGATGCTGCTGCTTCGTGCGAGGTGACGTGGCCGGACACTATTCATGCGAGATTTCTCGGATTTTGAGCCCCGAACTTCTAAAATCTATAACTTTTGCATACGAGCTCCGTTTTTGACGTTCTTTATATGCACACGTACCTACTATTACGCTCTACAACTTTCGTTTAGACTTCGTCGGATAATTTTGACTTTATTTTTAATATTATTATTTTTAACAAACCGGGACAGGAAAATCCGTTAAAAATTCATAACTTCTTCATCCGACATCCGTTTTCGTCAGAATTTTTACTGTTGTACTACAAATGACGAGACCTTTGATTCTCGTTTAGGATGTATCGGTCAAATATCGCTCAATCTAAAATTCGAGTTTTTAGCTGTCTACTGCTAAGTTGAAACTTCGAAAAATCATAACTTCCTCATACGAAGTCAGATTTTGGCGTTTTTTTTATCGAATTTCTCGGTTTAACGAATACTATGACTTTCATTTAGATTACTAAGGCTAAAAAGTAGTTTATCAAAAACTCACTTGTTACGTCATTCGGCGTCGTGCCAGTTTTGTCGCGGATCTTCGGTTGGTCATAACTTCTTCGTAATAACTCGGATTTCGACGAGGTTTTCGCCTAAACACTTCTAACAAGATTCTCTACAACATCAAATAATAAAAGTTTACTTATTTAAAATTTTATATTTTCGCTAAATTTCACTATTTGACTTTTAATTGGAATCTCATAAGACTTCCATTATTTTCTAAGTGATTCTAAACATAGTTTTATTTCATTTCTAGTAAGAACCATCTGTTAGAACTCAACACTCAATTTCACATGGTATTTCACAATTTTATTCATTACAAAACACGAATTCAAAACGTGTATGTTACAACCACCCAAACTTAGTTTTCCTTCTTCAGCGATTTCGTTAATCTCGCTTTCTTGGGTTTTTAGAACATTATAAAGATCACCTAGAGAATAGTTTTCGAAGCTTTGTTGTGTCTTGATCATTAAACAAATGTTCCTCCACTCCTTTCAAAGTCCCATCAAGAAAGTAAGATTATAATCAAGAGTTGAACGATTAACCCAATATCGAATGCACCTGAAGATTAACTCGTTCAGACAATCATAGTACATATCAATGGTCTCATTGTCCTTTTGTTTGAATTCTCCTAATTCAAGTAGACATTGCTTAACATAAATTTTTCTTGTCTTCTCACTTCCCTGATAATTCTCTTTCAAAGTATCCCAGATCTCCTTTGTTGTTTACAACCACAAACATAATTGTAAACCACCAATGGAAGAGCACCGCAAAGTTCACACAAACATTTCTTATCATTTTCTTTTTGTTTATCTGCTTGAAGTGAAACATCTGCAGATGAACCAACAGTTCCAATTTGTTCTAACCTCCCAGGATGATAGTTACCACTCGTTATGCAACACCACAAATCTTCGTCTATTCCATTAAGATCAATGTTTTGAAAACCGGACCGGACATTGAACAGTTCGTCTTACTGGTTCGATGGTTCAACTAGTTGGACCGCTCCTCAAAAACCGGATGAACCGGACGATATAAAGTTACTCTTTATATATATATATATATATATATATATATATATATATATATATATATATATATATATATATATATATATATATATGATTTTTGAACATTTAAAATGAAACAACACATTCCGATATCAACTTCTAATAATTTATAAGCTTACTCCTTCAAATCATTTATAAACTTACTCCTTAAAATCTTGTTACAAACGTAATGAGAATAGAAAAAAAAAATCTTTTATTGAATGTAGAAGAGAATCCTCAAAGTCACCGTTCAAGTCTATCCCACATCGCCTAAAAAAACTAAAATGGAGGCTTTGTCCGGTTTGACCAGTCCGGTTTTTCCTGGTTTTTGCTTGAACCGCCGGTTTGTTTACAAACGGTTTTCAGGCTTAAGAGAACCGGTACACTTACCGGTTCCTGGTTGAATCGGCCAGTCCGGTTTAGTTTTCAAAACAACGATTAATATAATCTTTCATTTTGTCTGCCCATTGCTCATAGTATTTATGAATCAGCATTGGAATTTTGGTTGAAGAACCAAGAAGATGGAGCAACCAGTTATAGTGTTCATGTTGAAGTTAGTCATTGATGTATTGACAAAATTTATGAAAAACTTTAGAAAAAAGAATCTAATGAACAAATCTTCTAGAAAACAAACAGCAAGCATTCGATTTATCAGACGAAACGCATAATCGAATCAAAACAGTTGATCAAAAAAGATTTTCTAGATCAAAAGTGCTGAATATTTTTGAATTTAAAATAAGATTCAAAAACTTTTGAAAACACGAGAAAATCATAAATCAACTGAGAGAATTAAATGAATGAAATAAAATCAGGATATAAATCAATCAAGAACACAAAGTAAATAGAAACTTTTTGTCTCAATTAATAATTTTGAAAGATACAAAAGTAAATGACAGTAAAGTACACTTCATGACAAAAGTTATTCTAATCCTTATACCTATCTCATAGGAACATCATAAATAAACAAAATGATCATAAATAAACAAAATGTACATAAGGTCTAATACAAATACGCTTCGACATCTAAGCTCCCTTATGAAATACATATAATTAAAACATCAATACAAACTCCAACACAAGAAATGACCTAAGACACTTCGACATCTCACATTCAAACCCTACAAATAAATATTATACTTTCTTTTTAATGAAGTTAACATTTAAATTGGACAACTATATTCACTTATTGAGTTACACCATAAAACATGGTTTCACCTGCCATGATAGAATTAATAAATATTCTTAAATTAACGATGATTTAAAAATGTAACAGTAAAATCATCATTTAGCCCATTCAAACCGTTTATTCAATCTAACAAAAAAAAAAAAACATACATTTTATCCCAACAAACATCATTATTCCTTTATCCATAATAAACTCAAACAACTGCAAAAAAAAAAAAAAAAAAAAAAAAAAAAGAACAACCATCATGTTCTATAATCTTTTCCAATTTCAGCATCATAAATTTAAAAAAAAAAAAGTTTTACAAAACGAATCCAGTGTGTAAAACTACCGATATGTTGTGAACTCATCTTAACTTAGATTTTTTTGAGCTTTTAAGGGGTTTAGCTAAAGGACGAGGAGCCGGTTTTGCAATGGCTTTTTGGAAGTTATATTTAACAGAAGAAAAAGCACAAAGCACTGCAATTAGCATCGTTGGGTAAACGTAAACGGATCTTGTGGGGTCCGTATTCACCGGTTGTTTTCCCAGTAAACCTTCTTTCACAAGTCCCCATACAATTAAAAGTGTCCCAAACATGCTCATTCTTTGAGGCTTTAGTAAACCGATAAACGCTCCCGCCACTGAGAAGTAACTTCCTGCTAGAACCTGAAAACAAGTCCCAATTTTTTTTTTTTTTTAAATAAAAAAATAGCAGCCTACTTTCATTTAGAGTAAATTACCGAAATGGTCCCTATGGTTTGATCAAAACTACACGTTTGGTCCTAATTATTTTTTACACTCGGATCGTCCCTGTGGTTTGATTTTATTGCGTTTTTCGTCCCTTACATACATAAAGTTAGGGACCAAACGTGCAATTTTGACCAAACCATAAGGACAAAAAACGCAATAAAATCAAACCACAGGGACAATCCGAGTGCAAAAAAAATTTAGAGGCTAAACGTGAAATTTTGACCAAACCATAGGGACGATTTCAGTAATTTACTCTTTCATTTATTAGTATTCAAGGGAAGAGATAGAAACCTCTAGGCGTTGTAGATCAGGTATTGCTGAGACTACTTTTATATCAGTCAAATTGTAAATATGAAGAACATTATTCCAGCTTGGAAAACTCATGTTGTAGACTAACTCATTAAAAATAGCCCCTGGGTAAAGAAGACCTTTAACTGCAGCTGATGGAAAGATCTCACTTGCAATTAGCTGGCTTGATGTGATCTGGATAGGTGATGTACACATACCCGATCTACATGGTATCCTGATTTACAAAAATGATTACTAATATTTTAATATCACAAACAAAGGAATCATGAATATGTTGATCGTAAGATAAGAAATAGCTATAATTGCTTCTAACTGTCGATCTTTTGCTGTTACCTTATGGTTTATATTGTTATAAATTGATAACTTGAAAGCTTAATGCAAATCCTTGTTAGTCCTATATATTATATAACAAAGAAGTGTGAATGTCGACTAGCGAATGAGTTTTACTTTAGGGTTTCTAAAGTCGATCCAACAAGAGAAATATGAGAAAATTATTGATTGTGCAGTTCAATCATCTAAGGATCTGTTCTAAGAAAGTTTATGCAGTTCAATTCGTTCTTAAATAACGTATGTATGATAGCCCCAATTCGAGTCAAGTGAACAAGGCAGATATTCATCAGAGAAGGGGATCCAGTAACCACTAGCGCAATCAATACAAAGATTGAGTAAAACTACAAGTGATATCGAGTTCAATAAATCGTGAACCACACACAAACATTAAAGATATGAATCGAATTGTAAACAAATTAAATTATTAATAATACCTGAAAAACGGAATTTGGAGGATGATGAGGAAAAAGTAAACGCGAGCTGCATATATCGGAAGATTCGACAGCTTCGCCATTGTTAGAGTGAGAGTCAGTGAGAGAGAAAGGAGATCGCAACTACAAATCCGACTTCTAGAAGACTGAATGAGGCCTGCAATCATACACAGTGTATTATATTAGCATTTAGCCCCCAAACTTTTTAATTGCTCATTACAGCAACTTGACTTGTAAAATTTTGCAAAGATGTTATCCATAAAGATTAATTACATTTACACATTTATGTCTAGGGTGCACAAGGGGGCCGTGCCTTCTGGGCTCTGGCGATACCCGGGCAGGCGGGCACGAATCAACAGGCCCATCAGGCAGTTTTTTTTTTTTTTTTTTTTTAACTAAGTGTATCAAAAATAATTTTAGTTTATTGCAATTTAGCATTTTGGTAAAATCATAAAAGTAAATTATTGATAAGGTAATTTGAAATAACTTATTAGTTAACAAGTTAGTCTAGGATAAGTTATTGATAAGCTAGTTTCTAAGCTAAATAAAAGTTAGTTTCTAAAAAAATATTTAGCGGGATGTGTGTGCCTCAGTCATGCTATATCTTGGGTTTTTGCAGACCTTACCAAATTGCGTCAATAGATTTCGATATTTTCTTTTAAATATTTTTTTAACATCAAACAAATAAAAAAAAAATCAATATGCGATAAAACTTAAAATATGCTTATATTTCATTGTTGGAAAGTATTGTTACATATGATTAGTACATAAAAATACACTACTAATCAATTTCTATGAAATATTCTTCCGGAAGGTGAATATTGTTTACATTCAACTTTATATTCGGTATTTTTATCTACAATTTCAGTGCTTTTGATATTTCTTTTTTGTCTCTATTTTTTTGTTCTTTAATTTAGGGGATGTTTGGTTTAGCTTTTCACACCAAAAGTTCTTTTTGAAAAAGAAAAAAAAATGTTTGGCAAAACTAATTTTAAAAGCTATTTTTGAAGTTTTTATATAAGAAGAATGAACTTTTCCAAAAAAAACTTTTGGGGTTTGAAAAGCTAAGCTAAACACCCCCTTATTTTAGAATATACTATCTTTCTACCATAAATTGAGTGAGAGATGTAACACCCGTTTCTTGGATTGGATCAATGTAGGGCTTTATGGAGTCAAAAACTTGGTTTTGGGGGAAAACCGAGTATCACGACGTGACCATAGGATGGTCACGACGTGACAAGCTGAGTTGAGGATTACATGCATTGGAAGAATGGTCACGAAGTGACGCTTAGTTGGTCACGATGTGAAAAGGGTTGCAACCCAAGCTCATGATCTTTTAGGGTTTGCTTCGTATTTAAACATCCTAAACTCGAATTTAGGGTCTATTTCTCAGCCTCTATCTCCCTTAAACCCCATAAACCCAAACCCTAGTTCATCTTGGTGGTTTTGGCTTATATTTAGTGGTTTTGTAACGTTCATAAAATTCTCAATAAAATTCTCAAAAATTTAAAACTTTTAAATTTACTCAAAAGCCCTCATTGTTTTCAAAATAAGTTCAACATCAGAGAAATCCCAAAATCATGAAATAAAACATGAGGAGGTGCACGATCATGCCTTCGCCTTCCCGTCATCCTCTGAAGTACCTGAAACATAATCCAAAAGGGTAAGCTTAAAGCTTAGTGAGTTCTCCGAAAATACCAATACATATCAAGCAATATAAAAATAATAACAGTCTGCAATGAGTCTATAGCTAACAGACTGGATTACCCATGAGCCCACAACATAAGTCTGGCTTGCCCCTGGGCCCAGAGCGTATCTCTGGCTTGCCCTTGGGCCCAGAGCTTATCTCTGACTTGCTCCCCGTCCTTTAATACGAGTCTGGCATGCCCTACTCAGCTCATATCTGGAATGCTCATGAGCCCTCAGTATGAGTCTGACATGTCCTTCCTGACCCTCAACTCATATCTTATGCTCCAGGGTTTGTTGGCTACAGCACGGAGAAGTACAACCTCAACCCAACCCACACCATATGTCGACATATAATATATAATATCATATTCAAATAACATCCAGTATCACATGTAGTCCTACGGATCTACCAAACTAGCATATCAAAACTAGCATGTATATCTACTCCATACTCAGCATACAATATCAGGTTATCAAACCAATGGGTCGGCCTTAGTGCCTTCAACCCGAAAGTATAGTGAGGAGGACTCACCTTTAAATTAGTGCAAAACAGATAAGGTCTGACTCTGAATCTCAACTATCGACTCAAATGCCTACGACCACCATGTGACCAATTCTATAAAATCTTGAAATACTCAAAATGCCCTCAAAAGTCAAACTTGGTCAACCATGGTCAAAGTCAAAGTCAATGGTCAAGGTCAACGGTCCATGTTGAACCAACTCATCGAGTGCACCAATAAACACGTTGTGTTTCTATAGGAATCAGATGGTCGGGAAAATCCCAGCCAACACGCCGTGTTGGCTTGCAAACACGTCTATCACACCCCAAAACCGAGAACGGCGGAATCGTTCTAGGGCGGAGGACGTCATGTAATGTATCACAACAATGTAAAGTAGTAAACAAGAAACAACATTATCCATTGCATTAATAGTATAACTTTAATTATAAGTGTGTTCTTTCATAGTATAAGACAACATAATGAATAATCAAAGTAAAAGACGAGTCTTGACTGCTCCATCTTCACAAAACCTGGTCATCGTACCTGTCTATTTGTGACCTGAGAATACAAGTTATTTTGAAAGCGAGTATCAGCCAAAAAGGTGGTGAATTCATAAGTATTTATGTGTCTTTGTCTTGTAAACATTGTAAAGGAAAGACTTGTAAACATTTGGAGAAAGTTTGTATAAGTATGAAAATGTTTGTAAGTAATTGTAAAGGTTTGAAAACCCTAGAAAAATCCCATATTTCCTACTAGTATAAAAAGTAGTCTTCTAGCTGTTTTGAAAGTAGTCTTCTACCAAGACCCGACTGTTTTGAAAGTAGCCTTCTACCAAGACCCGACTGTACGACTATTATTATTATAATCTAATCTACCTCATCGATTATGTGATTATGACACATGGTAAAGGTATTAATAATATATTAACTGGAGTTTTATCCTTTTGTAATTGTCGTATATACAGTGTAAGTACTGTAGTATTTGTAATAAGTGACTACTTTTGTACTAATTTTCCTTAATTGAGGGTTAAGGCATAATGTGATGGCTAGATCCCATACTAAACGCTCCCTGTCAAAAGAATTTGGGAACCAAATTCGATCCCTGCATGATTGCAAGTCGTGAACATCCACATTATTATGATCATGTATACCCAATATAACTATCAGTCTATCACCATGCATTAGTGATTCATTAGTATAGTTAGATCCTGAACTTGTTCGATGCTATAGCACTTTGTTATGGCTGTTCTGTTATCGTGTATTGTAATCATATTTATGTAAGCGTATTCATGTAAGTGTACCTATGTAAATGTATTCATGTAAGCGTATTCATGTAAGCGTATCTATGTAAACGTGTTCATGTAAGCGTATCTATGTAAACGTATTTATGTAAGCGTATTCATGTAAGCATATCTATGTAAACATATTCATGTAACATGTAATGTATTAGTATAAACTCATGAATGAACTGATGGGTTTTGAGCATTCTAACACTTCCTAAGTGTACATGCAACCCTAATAACCTTGGATCTATCTTTGTCTAATTATCATGCAAAGTTGAATTCCAAGGCTATATTCCTATCTAGCATACATGGGGAACAATTTTTAACTTGAATGATAGATAGAATAACTTACCTTGTTGTTGCTTATGTTTCTTGAAACCTTGTGAGCCTAGCACCCCAAGTGTGATGCCTCAAATGCTTCACACAACACCAAATGCTCTTGGAAAGACTTTTTGAGAGAATACACACTTCTTGAAATCAGCCTAGCCCTCTTGTTTCATATGTGTAGCCGATTTTGGTAGAGAATGGGATCCTTATATAGTGTTGATACATCTAGGGTTACACCATGTAAACCCTAATGTGTCATGACTCTTCATTTCCATGACCCATGGGTTTGTAACTCCCATGGAGCATCCTATGGGTGGAACCCAACTTGATAATCCATGGATCCTCTTAGCGCACTATACAAGATATGGATGTTTTACTTAATCAACCCATATATTTAATTAGGTATCTTTTGATCACTTAATTAATTCTAAATTAATTCTTGATCAAACTAATCAAATAATATTATTATTATATTAGAACTTATAATATATTAATAATCTCCAAATGTTATTTCTCTCATTTAGTCTATCCAATTGCATGGTGTCACGCAACCCAAATGGACCATGCCGGGTCGGGTCAAGTACATACCAGAAATAGTTATGGACTTAGACACCTTATCCAACAGTCTCCCACTTGGATAAGTCTAATAACTATTACTGCAAGTATGACTTCAGGAACCGATCCGCAATCGTAGCTCTTTTCAAGGTTTCTCGAAACTGAGAAGATGATGGTACGCCATTTAAGATAAGTGATCATATAATCCTCTGTTCTAGATATCAACCGGACAAATACATGGAACAATGTCTTACTTATTGTCCAACAGTTTGTTTCTTGATTTCCGATTTGTTTGACAAAGAACTTAATTGAACACATCAACTTAGTTCTGACCGGGCCCGGTACATAGGTCAAAACAAAATCATCGAGGGGCCCAGATATCAGCTTCTAATCCAAGAAGGAACAGATAAACTTCGACTCATATGTTTGTTCTACCACTCATTGAATTACACATAAAAGCACGTTTTATAACATCGAGTTACCAATGCATTTTCGTACAATCAATGCATAACCAACTTGTAAGTAACAAATCATATCGCTAGGTTTGAAGACTTATATGATATTACCGTCTCACGATCACTCGAGATAGAATTCCATGAAGTGATTCCAGTGAGCGTGGATTAAGTCCAATGCTCAGAACTTATGAGCACTCATGATTGTTGTAGCCTTGTCCAACACCTTAGACCTCTGCAACCAATCATGACAGTCTTGATTCATACCTACTTCCGACATATGACCGACTGTGGAGGTTTGAATAATATGTTATACCAAACAAAATTATTCTGGAAGTCAAAACATGCAAAAGAAATATAGTAAACGATTGACAAGAGATAGCAACACTTTACTCATAAATAAAACACCTTTTATTCATCATCTAATGTCAATTACACTTTACAAATTTCGAG